TCCAGGTGTTTTGTAACCTGGTCATAAAAAGAGACTAGATTAGTCAGGCATGATCTACCTGCTACGAATCCGTGCTGGTTTCCCCTCAGCATAATTTTCCTGCCGGGCTCTCGCAAATGTGAGCCTTGATAATTTTTTCAAAGACTTTGCCTAGGATGGAGGTGAGACTGACTGGCCTATAGTTGCCTGGGTCCTCCTTCCTCCCCTTCTTGAAAATGGGGACCACATTGGCCCTTTTCCAGTCCTCCGGGACCTGGCCCATGTGCCACGAGCGTTCAAATATTCCCGCCAGTGGCTGCGCAATGACATCAGCCAGTGCCTTCAGTACCCTCGGATGGAGCTCATCCGGGCCTGCCGACTTAAATGCATCCAGTTCCTCCAAGTGCCTCTGCACCATCTCAGGGTCTACGCATGGCAGTCTGGCGCCCTGTTGCTGCCTCTCTACAATCCCAGTGAGAGCCTTGTCTTGCCCCTCGCTTAGGAACACTGAGGCAAAGAACTCGTTGAGGAGTTCAGCCTTGTCCCCGCTGTCCGTCACCAATTGTTTATGCCCATTTAGTAGGGGTCCTATTCCACCCTGGGCCTTCCTTCTACTCCCTATATATCTAAAAAACAATTTTTTGTTATCCTTAAGAGTGCATCAGGAGCTCGGTAAACAACTGTTCACTAGGGCAGCCCTGGGGAAGACCAGGGCCAATGGATACAAACTCCTGGAAGGCCACTTCATGCTTAATACCCTGACTGAAGGAGTTTTTCTGGGTATCCAGACTGTGGAATAAACTCCCTTCAGAGGTGGTGCAGTTACCTACCCTAGAGGTTTTCAAGAGGAGACTGGACAGTCACCTCACTGGGGTCACTTGACCCAAGTTGTCTTCCTGCCTAAAGCGGGGGCTGGACCCAATGATCTATGAGGTCCCCTCCAGCCCCTAACAATCTATAAATCTGTTTCTGAGCTGTTGCATGTCTGTGATGCACCTGTGCATTTTTTTTAAAATTATAAGCAAAAATCAGAGTTAACACTGACTTTATGCAGGTGAAGAGGATTATTGTGCAGGTAGAAAATATTCTCAAACATTAAAGGAATAATGCCTCATAGCTAACAAGGCCAGTCACCAACTTTTTACAAGTTTTGGTTAAAACACCTCTGTTTACAATGCTGCTTTTTTAATATACCCATACTAGTGAGCAGATTCCAAATGGTCTTGGTAGTAGGTGCTAGATTACACGCACTGAGTAAAAATTATTGCTTGCTGTGTAGTGCCATCCCATTTTGTTATAACTATGCCTAATGGTTATATTAACCTGCACTATGCAGAACACTAATTTCCATCCCACTTCTTCTTGCTTTGCAGGTATTTGAAGGAACTTCAGGTATTGACGCTAAGAAAACATCTTGTGAGTTTACTGGAGATATTCTCCGAACCCCAGTATCTGAAGATATGCTCGGTATGTACTGAGTCTTGATTTGATGGCTAATACAGAGAAGGAAATGGGTAGAAGAACAACCAGGTAGTAGCTGTACTCTTCATATAATCTTGTTATCCTCACAGGTCGTGTATTTAATGGATCAGGAAAACCTATTGACAGAGGCCCCATGGTCTTGGCTGAAGACTACCTTGACATCATGGGTATTCCTTTCTTTTTCTTCTGGTAGATAGTCGTGCTGCTTTTGAAATTATTGTGCAGCAGTGGGTTCCATTCAGCTGTAAGAATGCTATGTGGTAATAGAGGTTTCCTGAAAAACATTGAGTACTTGTACTGAGTAAATTACCTGGTAGGCTAAAAAGTACAATCAAAGTGGTGGTAACTGGTATAACTGAGCAAGTAAAACAAAACTGACTTGCACTTTGCCTCCTCCCCAACAAGAACGTTTCAGAATCAATGTGCCAAAGCAGGGAGAAGATAAGAAGGAGGCCTCTGGAGCTGCACTGTTCTGAGCTGAGCGGGCTTTAGTTTCTTTTTTTTTTTTTTTTTTTTTTTTTTTTTTTTTTTTTTTTTTTTTTTTTTTTTTTTTTTTTTTTTTTTTTTTTTTTTTTTTTTTTTTTTTTTTTTTTTTTTTTTTTTTTTTTTTTTTTTTTTTTTTTTTTTTTTTTTTTTTTTTTTTTTTTTTTTTTTTTTTTTTTTTTTTTTTTTTTTTTTTTTTTTTTTTTTTTTTTTTTTTTTTTTTTTTTTTTTTTTTTTTTTTTTTTTTTTTTTTTTTTTTTTTTTTTTTTTTTTTTTTTTTTTTTTTTTTTTTTTTTTTTTTTTTTTTTTTTTTTTTTTTTTTTTTTTTTTTTTTTTTTTTTTTTTTTTTTTTTTTTTTTTTTTTTTTTTTTTTTTTTTTTTTTTTTTTTTTTTTTTTTTTTTTTTTTTTTTTTTTTTTTTTTTTTTTTTTTTTTTTTTTTTTTTTTTTTTTTTTTTTTTTTTTTTTTTTTTTTTTTTTTTTTTTTTTTTTTTTTTTTTTTTTTTTTTTTTTTTTTTTTTTTTTTTTTTTTTTTTTTTTTTTTTTTTTTTTTTTTTTTTTTTTTTTTTTTTTTTTTTTTTTTTTTTTTTTTTTTTTTTTTTTTTTTTTTTTTTTTTTTTTTTTTTTTTTTTTTTTTTTTTTTTTTTTTTTTTTTTTTTTTTTTTTTTTTTTTTTTTTTTTTTTTTTTTTTTTTTTTTTTTTTTTTTTTTTTTTTTTTTTTTTTTTTTTTTTTTTTTTTTTTTTTTTTTTTTTTTTTTTTTTTTTTTTTTTTTTTTTTTTTTTTTTTTTTTTTTTTTTTTTTTTTTTTTTTTTTTTTTTTTTTTTTTTTTTTTAATAGAGAATTCTGGTTCACACACCATGTGCTTTGGACCCATTGCTGGTAGAAGGAAGAGGCCTGATTTGATTTATTTGACTTCCTTTCCATTCTGTTTACTACACAAGGAACAGTAATTCATCTCCAGAGGTGTCTGCAAATAACATAAAATGGGAGAATAAAGGATTAAGCTTCCATCAACTCTCCAGGAAGACCTTTTTTTTTTTTTTTTTTTTTTCTAGAAAGTCAAGATGAGACAACAGGGCGCACAGTCCTGGCCTGTTTCTTTCCTGCAGTCTACTTGGCAGCTTTTATTAAAGAGAGTGCTTTGATAATAGTGTTGTCTAAATTATAAAAAGATTGTTACTTTTCCCCCTAAAGATACTAGACTGTTAACTTACTTTTAAAGAATAGGATGATATTGTCTTATCTTTATTGTCCATCTGTGCAGTTATCAATGCCAAATAGATATTAATCTTGTGAATAAGAGATTTCTCAACCAAAAAAAATTTGGTGGTTCTAAAATGCATTGGTTTGAGGGTTTTTTTTAACCTTTTAATCTTCCTGTGAAGCCTTGCTGATCCATCTTTTGATCAATTCATATTAACGTGGTTTCTCTGTGGAAATAATAGGTCAACCAATCAATCCCCAGTGTCGAATCTACCCGGAAGAGATGATTCAGACTGGCATTTCTGCTATAGATGGCATGAACAGTATTGCCAGAGGACAGAAAATTCCCATATTCTCTGCTGCAGGCTTGCCCCATAATGAGGTGGGTGCTTTAATAGAGAGCTTTGTGATGGAAAAAGTAGCTGCTGAAGCCTCTGGTTCAGGGCAGTATTATGAGCTACATTATGCAGTGATGGTCTTGGCCTTCCCCTCCACATCGCAGTGCTCTTTTTAATATATTTTAGATATTTTATATGGACACAAAATAAAATAAGTGCAAACTTGGACTTCAGTAAACCCCAGCGCTCAAGATACCACATCACAAATGGATTTAATTAGGCCAGATAAAGTGCTGCAGTGTAAATCTTCAAATACCCTTTGGTCTCTTGGCCTCGGTGGCAGAGATTTGGAAGGCAACAAACCGTATTTACCCCTGTCAAAAATAAAAGCAACTTGACGATTGTTTTGTGCCACTGCATCATAGAAAACGCAGAAGACGCAATTTAGTGCAGAGGGATTATATCTTTCTTTCCTCCTCAGATTGCAGCTCAGATATGTCGCCAGGCTGGTTTGGTGAAGAAATCCAAAGATGTGATGGACTACAGTGAAGATAACTTTGCTATTGTGTTTGCTGCTATGGGTGTAAGTGGCATGAATTTCAGGTACAACATGGAAAGGCAGCTGTACTAACTGGTTCCTTTTGTAACTAGGGCATGGGAGCAAACTTTTAATGGTCGCAAGTACTGTACTTTTTTAGCATGGCTCGAAGATGCTCAGATTCCAACTGCTACCAGAATTGCAGAGGAGCATTTGGGGTAGAAAGCTTTTTCTGTTGAACTTCCTCCTGGGAAGTATACAACCTCAAACACCTGTCCTTTGTGGGATGTGTCTTTCTCTTACTTTCACATGTGGTGAAACCCAGTCATTTTGATCTTTTTCAAGCTATTCCTGAGACACACAAATTAGTGTTGTTTCACCCTGTAACAGGGTGAAGGCACGTGCCCAATTTTCTGGAATTGCACAATGCATCTCTGAGCCTGAATATTATGTTTCATCGCCTGGGTAGAGATCATGAGAACAGGACAAGACTTGATGTATAGCAACTCTGCCAAGTTGAATTATGAATCGGGACCTGGTAGGGTACTCTTCAGCTGTGGCTAGACTGTTGAAGATCTTTTGTTACAGCTGAACTGAAAGCAGAAGTAGTTGGTATTTGGCATTCTTAGTCCACAAGGGAAATAAAACTTAAGGGTAGATTAGAGTGTATGCAAGTCATGATGCTGTCTTCCTGTTTTTGTAAGTTACCAAACTTAATATTGTTTTTAGGTAAACATGGAAACAGCTCGATTCTTCAAATCAGACTTTGAGGAAAATGGGTCCATGGACAACGTGTGTCTCTTCCTGAATTTGGCCAATGATCCAACGTAAGTAGGTAAAATGCTGTCTCCAGCAGGGGTGAGGACAAGTGGTGTACTGAAGAGAGGGATTCTGACCTTGACAAGCTTTTGAAACAGCAAGTTCTGAAAAACATTTTTTTTTTTGGTTTGTCAAATGTCAGTGGCTATGGAGCTGGGTATTGAATGCTTGCTTTACAGTTGGTAAGTTAGTTAGGTTTTACAGGGTTTCTAAACTGCTTCTCTATCTTGAATTGTGCTGTTCATGGTCAGATACAATCTCCAAATATCCAGCAGAATGCCTATAACTTGCTGTTTCTGGTTTTTTGCAGCATCGAGCGTATTATCACACCTCGTCTAGCCCTGACCACAGCAGAGTTCCTGGCATACCAGTGTGAGAAGCACGTATTGGTCATTCTGACAGACATGAGCTCCTATGCTGAAGCCCTGCGAGAGGTACTTGTTCCTGTGTACTAGATAGGTGTGTCATTGTATGTTCAGTGTTTCTCAAAGGGTGAGAGATTCCAACTTGACAAATCTCTTAACTGCTCACACCTTTCCTGTAAAGGATACAGTAGTGTAGAAAGATCCTGTCTAAGTTTTTCTGATTTAAGGAAGAGGCAGCGTTCGAATTTTGGACATAACCAAACAGCTGTAATTGGGAAAGTTAACCAAGTATGCCGAAGTCTCACTTAATGCATGCAGTTGCTTCTGGCTTGTGCTGGAGATGATATGGGTTTTTTGGGTTTTTTTTTTTTTAAGACTTGCTGATGTTTGCAAGCAAACGTCTTTCCATGTCCTGTACACTTCTGCCTGGGCACAGCTCTGGCCAGTCTCTGGAAAAGTACTGCAAAAAGATCTTGTGTATATATATGAATGTCAAACTAGTTGGCAGAAGAGACCTGATTCTCAAGTTTCTTGTTCATGTCTTCTCTTGTCAGTGTTATAAGATCTGGCTTTGAGGCAAGTCCTTCCCTATGCCTGGTTTGTGGTGGTGCTATAGTTTTTTTGAAGAATTTGAGTAGCTATATTTTTGGCACCACCAAATGGCAGATACTTTTGATCATGGGAAATTGCAGCTTTGTGCAAGCTGTGCCTGACAAGTTTGGTCATGTGCTTGATTCAATTTTGCCTGGATTGTCTGCAGGTGTCCGCAGCTAGAGAGGAAGTACCTGGTCGCCGTGGCTTCCCAGGTTACATGTACACTGACTTGGCCACCATATATGAGCGTGCTGGGCGTGTGGAAGGCAGGAATGGCTCCATTACTCAAATTCCTATCCTTACCATGCCTAATGATGGTGAGTCCACAGACTGCTTTGCACGTACAGGCGTGTAGTATAAGTTGTCACATGGCTCTCACACTTGGACATGTTAGTTGTGTGTGCATGCCATGGGAGGATACCCAGCTGGCTGACAAAACTATGTGAAGGTCGAAAGTACCTGTTGTGACTTCCTGTTGTTGGCTTCTCCCCCAGTGGGGCTGGAGATTTATTTAGATGCTCCAAAAAGTCATCCTCTCCCAAGTAAAGATTTGCATCCTGACTACTGGTGCAGAAGAGAAGTTAAACCATAATATATATCCTTTCTCACATGTGCTGATAGATGTACAAAAAGAGTTTTCAGTAGCTGATGGTCTCGGTTATGACCAAAGGCAAATTCCAGCTAGTGCAGGAAATCTATTCCAAAAAGTTTGAGGTGCTCTAGATATTTGGAAGATGCTGGGGATGTTGTCCCTGAATGAGCTGCATCTCTCTGGAGCAACAGAAATCCACTTTATTAACATGCATGCCAAATGCTTTACAAAGCTCTACATACCACTTAAGAGTGAGAATAATTGTACCTCATTTCAAACAGTGAATGAGGCACAGAGAGGTGACTTCACCACCTAAACTTTTCCCTGATAAAACGACTGGATGTTCAGCCAGTTGGGTAACTAGCCAATCTCAAGAAGGCTTCCACAACAGCCTTCTTGCTGTGAATGGTTTTTTAAATGTCCTCTTCTGGTTAATGGAAGAAAACCTTCTTGGATACCTTATTCAGGTCCTCTTGGTTTGTTTTACCTACAACAGGAGCAGCTCAATGTATTGCTCTGTTTTGTAGCTCTCTGACCTTATCAAAGCATGAGATTCCACTCTAACTTCAAGGCATGTTAAATGTCACAATTGCAGATTATCATGGTATCTGGAATGTGCTGCTTCATCGTTTGAAAAGCCTGACGTGTCCCTGCTGCTTTGGTTTGAATGGGTATAAAAAAGTGGAGTCAGAAAACTAAATACCCACTTTCCCTTTCAGATATTACTCATCCTATTCCTGACTTGACTGGATACATTACTGAGGGACAGATTTACGTGGACAGGCAGCTGCACAACAGACAGGTATTTCACCATTGAGTATTTTGATCCATCTTACTTTTCAGAACTTTAAATCTTAGCCTATGTTTTCTGGCAGCTGCTTGTATAATGGTTCTGAGCTAAATGTGGAACACCTGTAATAGTAGCCAAGTCGAGGACTTTGAGGGGGTGGAAAGCCTTGTATTAAAGACCAAGTCTAAAGAGTGCCCTCTTAAGTCGGTTAAAATGGCCAGAACTTGTGAGTATAAGGTATCTGTGTTTTATCTTGGCTGTAAGGTAAACTTGGCAAGAAAACGGATACCAAAGAGATCTCTTCCACCCCCCGGTTATACAACACTTGAATCCCGATGAACACTGCTGGTACAATGCTCTTGGATTTATTTTATTTTATTTTATTTATTTTTATTTTTTTGTGAGATGCTGTTGCCTAAGCTAGGAACACTGCTTTAATCTCTGTCTCTTCCGTCATGCCCAGGTATTAAAATTTTAATCACTTGGCTTTCTGGACTGAACTATAAATACTACCTGCTTTGTCAGTTTCCCATACTGTTAAGAGTTTTAGGGCTTTCTGGGTATTAAGAGTGCCTAAAAGTTAAAGATGTGTTCAGTAATGAAGACCTTCCAAATGTGTTTTTTGTTTTGTTTTTGTTTCTTTAAGTGCTTCTAACTTCTTGTCTTCCCTCCAGATTTACCCACCCATCAATGTGTTGCCCTCCTTATCTCGACTGATGAAGTCTGCTATTGGAGAAGGCATGACCAGGAAAGATCATGCAGATGTGTCCAACCAGCTGGTATGTGTGATTTATTGTTTAACTAGAGTAGTTTGAGAACATATGCCTTTGCTTTCATCTGACATCCTGAAAATGAGCGTATATGATCAGCAACTTTAAATCCAAAGCAGTTTGACCCACAAACTTGAGTAGGCTCTAGTCTGTAGTGCTGTTGAATGCCATTTGCTTTTGCTGACAGTACAAGACCTCCTTATAATAAGGGAGGGTGGGTAGGTGGGTGTGTGTGGACTAGTAGTTCTCAACCATTTTAGGCTCAAGGCACCCTTTGGAAAATGCCAACTCCTAGTTTTCACTCTTTTGAGCCTGGAAAAACAATAGAGCAACACTACATTGCAACACTATGAATTCTTATTTGAAATCATTGGACACTTATACACACACTTTTTTTTTGTCCCGCGATGTGCCAGAGATCCGCTGCTTCAGAGCAGACTCAATCGAACATGTTTACTTGTGAATCACGTTTATGCACCTAACAGTGCTAATATTGTGTGGCATCCCACAGCACCCCTGAAAGGAACTCAAGGTTGAGAAACACTGGTGTAGACCATTGGTTCACCAGCAGTGCATTGAAGAATATTTATTTTTTTTAGGCTCACTGCAACAAATGCTATTTGCTTACCGTGCCATGCCACTCTGTTCATAGGGTGTTTTTTTCTTTTGGTTTTTTGGGGGGAGTTTTCCCTGCAAAATGTCTAGAATTCTCCAGCAGTTGCTTTGTAAGCAACAGTCCAACATAAGTTTCCTCTTATTGTAGTCCAAATACCACTGCATTAAGGATTTTGTACTTCAGCTATCACTGTCGATGCTGTACTGTTTTTTTTGCTTTCGCATCAAATGCATTGGCACTGCCAGGAGTCTTATGCTCTGAGCATTGTCATGGTTGACACTTGCTCTCTGCTTTCTATTTTTTTTTTCCCCCTACTAGTATGCTTGCTATGCTATTGGAAAGGATGTGCAAGCAATGAAGGCTGTAGTTGGTGAGGAAGCTCTTACTTCAGATGATCTTCTCTATCTGGAGTTTCTGCAGAAGTTTGAAAAGAACTTTATTGCTCAGGGTAAGTGTAACATTTCAAGTGTTCGGTGGTGATCTACTTACATTTGTCCTAACACCACGAGAACGCACGTCTTATTTGGCCATTTACTTAAAATGGCAAAGTGTGATCAGTCTGCTGTTACCTCTTCAGGTCCTTATGAAAATCGCACTGTTTACGAGACTTTAGACATTGGCTGGCAGCTGCTGCGTATTTTCCCCAAGGAGATGCTGAAGAGGATCCCGCAGACTACCCTGACTGAGTTCTACCCTCGAGACTCGACTGCGAAGCACTAGCTGCGACTTCATCTCTTGCTCCGTACTCTGTGAAATGCTGTTCGTTTTCTTCATGTGTTGGTATTTACTTGTCACCCCATCATTAAAACCAGAAAAAGTGACACCTGTGCCAGTGTTCCTGATGTTTTAAGCTGATATCAGAGTTTAAAATATCTCTTTCCAAAGGCTGGATCTTCAGGGGTTTAGTAAAATGCCTGCAGGGAGAAGCTTCAAGGTCACTTGTCTATACAGATGTGTGTAGTTAAGGTACTACTCCTACCTGGCATACTTAGGTTTTTGGTGAGCTGACTTCCTTTAAACCCTGTCAAGAGAAATTTACCAGAAGCTTCAATTCCTTTGGTCTCAGACCAGGAACACCCCC